GACAACTTTGATGATTTATACATAATACTGTACAGGCGATAGCAAACTCAATTTAGCCGCTCTGTAGCGTGGCGCAGGGCAGAGGAAAGTAGTTCTGCTGCTCATCCACTATTGGTCCAGATTCTATCAATCTTGTCGCGAAACGAGTCAGCAACGACGTTTAAGGAGCTCCTTTATACGAATGTTGCTACAATTTTTTCGCAACGTTATAGGAATTTCCGTTATAGGAACGCACGTTATAGGGGGTCGACTGTACAGTATAATATAAATAATATAAAAATATATATTTAACTGATATATATCAAAGAGTCTCTTGTCGTCAAACTGAACGTCAATTTATATCCTCATTTGGGTGTTGAAAGACAAAGGTCTTTCAACACCCAAATGAAGATCTGTCAGTCGTCATGTTCTCTACAGAAGAGAAAACCTTTGTTACCAATCGTAAATTGTTTTTTAATGTTGTTTACTCGGAAGTTTAACTACAAGTTCTACATTGAAAATGTTGAACGTGATTAACACGTTTCCTATTGAAGATTCAACGGCTTTTATATGGTATGGTCTGAAAGATTAAAATATACACTTGTACTCTATCTTCAAATTAGTTTTCACATTTCGCTTTAATGCTGGTTGCGGTTGAACACAACACTAACGCTGGATACAGTTAGACCCCATAAAAGATACAGTACTTGTTTTTAGCACTTTTATTAATAATGTTATTAATAATGTTGGTTTGTAAACTGCTAGAATAGGAACACTCTACTGTCGTAGTCAAAATATATTTTCATGGATATTCTAATTCTAATAAGCCCCAAATGAATCTTACTTTTCAGACAGTATAACGTAGCGACCTTATGCCGCCTGAAAATACACTGTACTGTACAGTACACACTGTTAGCCTGTAAGGTTTAATTTTACAGTTGTTTAATATATGATAGGATAAGTCACGTGTGCTTAGGACCACCTAAATCCGTAACGAACCATGGCGAAAATATGAAGATTTTCAACTTTATAACTGTCTTTACAGTCACTCATCTTCAAGAAATGACTTGGGAAAATATGCTACTAGGGCTACCAGGCAGAACATACCGATGCTTGCGGTAGGTAAGCCTGTGATCAGAGTGAATCTCCGATCAGGAGGCCCCATCATCCCAAAAGCAGAGCGAATGGATGCCTGATTTGAGCAAATGTTGAGAAACTAAACTATAGAAATTTAATATAGCTTGCGCTGAATGATTGTTTTCAATATTAGTCACTTTTGCATGGTAAAAATTAATCATTTGCAAGGTTTAATTATAAACATGTTCTAAGTGTTTTCACTTTCAGCATGAAATTATCTTGTCTTAAGTTTGGAAAACTGACTGTAGAGTATTTTCAACAATTCTGCTTTTGTCTAGATTTACAGTCAACTATGTGTGATATTCAAGCATTTACGTGGCGGGTTGAAATTTTCTAAATCCAAAGTGTTAGGATGATCGTCAGTAATTTTTATGATAAACGCTTTTTATAAGTAGCATTTAATAACTTAGTAATTTAGTAGCATAAGTGCACTACATTATAATTACTAATCTTACAAACTCTAATGTATTGTACGTGGATATATTTTACAATGGTTGAAAACACTTTCAAATATAGGAATCGTCCATAAATTACGTAACGCTATTTTTATACTTTTTAACAACTATCCCACCTCTTGTAACGTTCCGTAACGTCATCGCACATACATGCCTCCAAAATTACGTAACATATATCTTCGATCGACTCTCTTAATTGTAGTCTACTAACAAGTAAGAAATAATACACAGCACGAGATATCAAACGTTGCATCACTTCATTAATTACACTCGTAACATACCGTGTTTCCCCGAAAATAAGACATCCGCAGAAAATAAGACCTAGCACAGATTTTGCTGAATTGCGAAATATAAGACCTCCCCCTGAAAGTAAGACCTAGCGAAGTTTTTTTTTAGTCGTAACGGTCATCGACAGATGGTTGAAAATGGCCGTTGGCTTTTTGAAAGTACAGCCACTGATTGGTCAGCAGACAATTACGCCACACGGCATGATTTGCATAAGACTATGGCTTGGGAATCACAGATTTGCATAACGTTACGGCTGGTGATGGCTAATTGGTCGGCCGGGAATCACGCCACATGACATTTGCATAGTGCTACGGTTCAGTAAGCACTAATTGGTCATCGAGTGCGATGTTGACGCTATAAAAAGGCGACAGTTCGACACACCGGATATACGTCACTCTCGTCTAAGTTCGACTTGGGCATTTATTTGTTCAATAATAAATGTGAATTCTTCTTCCTGGAAAAAGTAAGACATTCCCTGAAAATAAGACCTAGCGCATTTTTCAGAGCAAAAATTAATATAAGACACTGTCTTATTTTCGGGGAAATACGGTACAAGGAAGTGACACAAACACTACGGTTCGCTATAGCACTTCAGAAACAAAAATGAGTCATTCTTTTACCCGGAAGATCTTAGCATTATTTAATGTTTTCATTAACACTCGGCCATCCGGCCTTGAAAAATCACGTAAAAAAAGTCAACAATTGATTAACAATATTTCTATTTTTCGACAATAAGAAGTATTCGAAGCATTATTTATTTTTCTTTGTTAGCATGGAAAGAGAAGATAGGCATTAGCACAGCTTGGGTTTCAAAGAAGATTAAAAGGCAAGAAGAACTTCTAACAGTGAGTAAATTATCTAATTATACAAAGAAGAAAATAATGGCCGTTTTTCACATCGCCAGCACTAGAATCAGCACAGAAATTTATGAGATATCGCCGATTCTAAGCGTCAGTTGATGGAGGGATGATGGAACGTTCCGCTCCAAGATTCGCACTGATGACAGGTATGTCCTGTAAGTAAGTAAAGAACCGTGTAAAGTATAATGTTTTTCCGTTTCAGGACGATGACGCGAGACAACGCATCGAGATCGAATTCAACCTGTGGAGTCATTGTTATCGTATGATAAATTTAATAATATTCTAGTAAAACTATTTTATTATATAATACAGAATTTATATTATGTAGTAGTTAAACAGAAGCAAACCTCCGGAAGCTTTACGGCCTATTCCATTTTTGTTTGAAAAGTAGTTACACTATGTATCTATTTATCAATAATTTTACTACATTTGTGTTAAAGAGGGTGAGCGGACGTAACGGAAAGGACGGAGAGAAAATAAAACCCACCGGAATTATAAGTAATGGACGTGCGTACGTTAGGAGGACGGAAAGGAAGAGTCGTATGAAAGGAAATCCGTTTTGTATACTTGTATATATTCCAATAAATGGGAAATGACACGTGTTGATTTCAATATAAAATGGCAATTATTAATTTTATGACAAAAATTTAATATTGCATTAATTTTTCTTCGTGAACATTGAGTTAAACTTCAACTGTAGTAAGTTTTTTGTCTTAATATTAATAAGTTTATCTTTGGTTAAGTCCTTACATAAATCCTTATTAAAAATTTAATTATTAAATTTTTATTGATATTTTAGTAAGGATTTTACACAAAGAAAAAAAATTGATACAATAAAAAATTTAAAGAGAGTTTTGAAATTATGAAAAGTCAAAAAAATAATATCAATAAAAATTTAAGTATAAAATTTAATGGAAACTGGTAAAAAAACATTATAAAGAAGTATAAACAAGTTAATTATAAAAGGAAGAAAAAGTTATGTAATAATATGTAAATTAGAAAATAGGTAAAAGAAAAACGAGAAAATTCAATTAAAAATATAATAATATAAATTTATGCAAAAAATACAATAGATAAATATATTAAATAGAATATTTTATTATATAAATGTTTATTAAAAACCAGAAAATTTTTTTATTATGTGAACGAGATTAAGAAAGTCTGGTGAAAATCATATCAGTGAAGGCCAAATGCTGTTCAGTGCACTGTCGGGAAATTTTAACTGTAAATATATTTATTTTAAAAAGGATGTGTATTAGTTAGCACTCTTTATTAAATATCTTAAGCCCTGGTTACACTATGCGATTTGTAGCCGCGCAGGCGACCGCAACTGCAACAAGCGCGAGTCTTCTCGTGGACACACATTGTTCGTTGACGTTGCAACTCAGAAACACGTGATCCTATAATAAACCAATAAAATCACAGTAGCTTGTTTTTGACTACTTTCGTGAGTTTGCTGATATTTTACGTTTTATTTCAGAGTATTTACGGAATTTTAGCCACTTTTCTTATTAAAATAGCAAGCAGTTCCTTTTCTGGAATGAATAAAAGAAAAAACGGCGATTATTTTGATAGAGCTGACGAGAATACACGAAAAGATAAAATATTCGATAAAACGAAGAATTAAAATCCCACGTATTCGTGAGCCCGAATAAGCTCGATGAATCTCGATTCTGTAAAAGTATAAATCCTGTAACTATCCGCCATGAGGATGAACTATTTTCAATGTTGTCACCGTATGACATGACTCAAAGGCGTTTGTAACCGTCGCGAGTATAACAAACTTTTTGTTTCTAGTTGCGGTTGCAGTCGCGCCGGTTTTCGAGGGGAGATTACTAGTTAACGGGAACAGCCGTCGCGGTTGCAGTCGCCTGCGTGGCTGGAAATCGCATAGTATGACTAGGGCTTTAGTGAACATCAGAATTCTTCAAGGCTTTTTGAGCTAAACAAAAATACCTGATGTTTTTGAGACGCCCGGGTTATGCAAAGCAATAGAACGACGCCTTACCGCCTCGGCCCATTTGGCCGTTTTACCAAGTTTTAAAAATGTTTCCTAAATATTTCCGGATTCGATATATTATAATATTGATTTAAAAATAATATACAGTTTTATATTTAAAGTATTTTTAAATCGATGTTATAATTATGCATACAATATTAATTAATAATAATAGATATATTTTATACTATACATTATTATTTTGTTCCATTAAATTAATAAGTAGAAAAATAATATTTTATAAACATTAATTATCTTTAAAAATTAAATACAGTATACTGTAATTATTTAATTAAAATTTTCTGAATATTACTTACAACGAAATCACCCGCCAGAGGGAGCAGAAGTTAAAAGTTGAATTGTCCAATGGCACTTCGCTAGGTTGTTTTGCCGTAACGTTTTCGTTTTTAGATTCCGAGTTGGTCTAATTTTAAACAACTTCGGTGACATTTTGAGAAATCTGTCGTTTAAATTACAAGAAATGTTTTAATGATCGACGTAAATAAGTGTGAATTATATCGTGAGTTTGGTTTTTATGACATTTAAAGTGTTAGGCCTAAGACTGCTTTTACCCGCCATTTTAAATAAACGAAAACAGTTATAAGATCATGTCGGTGGAATTTGAAAGTGTGGAAGGCAACGTGGTTCGTATTGACACTTCGTTAACATTTATTAATTAATATTTATAATAACAATCGATAATTAATGATGATTATTGTATTAAGCTATCGGATATAATTTGTTTTGTTAGGCCTAAAATTAGGGTTATATTAATGGCGCGCTTTTTCAAAAATTTGCTTTTATAATTCGACGGAAGTTTACATTTATTCTAGTTTTTTTTTGTTTTTAATTAATATTTACTATGTAATTTAATTGAAAGTGATGTCTTTTTAGAAGTTAATGAATAACATAATATTTGGTTTAATATCTAGCACAAAATTATGGTACGAGTGGAGAATTCTGTAAATTGAAATTTCCATTTTTTCTCCATACTAAATATAGAAAACAGTTCTGTAAGTGGGGGCTAAACTCTCTTTATTGAGTTATGGATAGAGAAAAAAAGTTGTATGATTGGAAAAGTTTGTAAATTGTAATTCACTGACCATTTGATCATGTTACGTGTTCAAGACAGTGCTGCAAGTGAGGTAAAATCTCTGTTCTAGAGTTTTTGGGAGTAAATACGGTAAACTTCCACAACTCTAAGCTTTAAGGGGCGGGGAAAAACTTGAGTTAATGACAGTTTGATTTAGAGAACAATAAAGTAAAAACTGTTGATTCTAAATAGATTTGTACTTTTATATCTCTTGCTTTATATAAAGAATCTTTGAGGGTTATTTATTTTTTAACATTTCATGTAATGCCTTTTTGGCAAACTGTTCAGTGTAACTAATGGAATTGAACAGGTGCATCTTGTTGAGATAAAGCGAGAGGACCTCTTGCTTTTGACTGGAACATTGTCAGAAAATTGGTGTTTGAGAGTAAATACAACTAATTGTCTGAAAATTTTGTGGAAATCCAATAATTAGGATCACTTTGAATAGAATAAATATTAAAATTAGAGTCAAGGAAGTTGAAATTAACATAAATTTCTGATGGTGACCACGTAAAACTTTAAGTTGGAGACAGTAAATCCTTATGCTATTCCATTGAGACTTACAAAATGCTTTTTCTTCAAGTTAAAGAAATATTTGAGTTAGAGAAGTTTTACTGTATCTGCAGCATAATGCATATTGCAATTTGGCACAGTCACAACTCATGAGTGTCACGTGTTTGCAATCTAACCTATTTTTATATATTTTATACCTAGGTTAGGTTAGCTGTGCATATTGCATTGCTAAAAAATCACATACCAGAACAGGTTCAGCTCCTCTATATAGCTATCACTTTTATGCTCATCTAGCTAGAAGATATTGTTTTCTATATTTGGCATGGACAACAGAAGAGGGAGCCAAAGGGAGACTCAAGGTTTCAGTTTATAAAATTCTCCACTCATATCAATTAGATTGCGCATTAATGCTTAATTTTTGTAGATTAGATTAAGCAGTAAGAAATAGTTAATGTAATGCTTAATAATGTTTAAATTTGTTTTTAAGTGTTATTAAATCTTTAAGCAGAGAATACTAAGGGTGTTTATAAAAGTTTTTTTATTAGAATGCTTAAACATTTTTAGAGGTTTATTTTTTTTTTATTACATAACACTTTTAAAAATAGTTTTTCCTTTCTGGAGACAAAAATATTGATTTTTCTGTGAAGCTGTAATTATATATAAACAATTCAATTTATTTTTTGATTCATAATATTGATTATTAAAATAAAAAAAATAAAATTGTTCTCAATAAAAGTACTTGCTAATGTGATCAGAAATTGAATAATTTCTGTTTTTTAAAGTTTGATTATCAGTATAATCTGTAATTAATGGACAAATTTCTTTTAGAGTTTATTATTGATTTTGAATTCTAAAGTTTAATTCATGTGGAGAGGAAAAAGCAGAGAGAATTGGTGATGAATTTTGGTTTTGCAACTTGTGCTGGCATTCTGGCATGTTGAATTTTTTCACTAGCAAAAATAATTTCCTGACTGGAGGCGTGGCTTTCTTGATATTATAGTTTCAAGATGGCAACTGTGAAGTTTTTACATTTGAGCTATGATGTTGAAGCAGTTTTAGTGGAAATGAATAAAACTTCATTTTTGTTTTACGAAAAAAACACATTATAAAGTCTTCTGTTTTACTTTGAGTAAGTTTTTATTCTTAAAATTTATTACATTTTAATATGTACTGCTATTTACTTTTTATTTGTAATAGGATATTAAAATTTAATCACGTTATTAGAGGGTGTAGACTATTATATCATATTTTTTCTGAACAAGGATCAGAAAAAATATGATAGACATGAATATGTATGATGTATGTATACAGTGGTGCCTCATAGTTCGAATTTAATTCATTCCAGGAGGCCATTCAAACTCTGAATCATTTGAAGTCCAAAGCAGTTTTTCCTATAAACAACTGAGTCAATTAATCCCATTTTTAGTCCCTAAATAATACCCATCCTGATAAAGTTAAAACAGCAAATATACTGCCTGGAAGTCTTTCTATAATATAATATATAAAATATAAGCCTTCCTCCTCTCTTCTTACCTCATACATCCCTTCCCCTACACGTGTTCAGCAATCCCCTGTGTCGTCTTAGCAGTTTGTTGCCCATTTAACCTGGTGAAAATGTTTGCACTTTGTCTATAATTTTCTTGCTGATTTGTTAGGTTTTAGCAGTGTTTATTTTTGCAAAAACAGTAGATTGTGGTCGTTTATCCCAATCAATTGGGGACTAGGGTTGTTTGGATAACCAATTATGTACGAAAAAATATATTAACCTATCCCGTGTTGAAATTTTTCTCGATTGCATGTCTTTTTATGTTGAATTTTCATTGATGTTAAGCCTAACAAAAATTTTTATAATAATCATGGCTATTGTATCATTAAAAATTATTTCTTTATTTTGTACAAACAAAATAAATATATTGAAAAATATTTTTTAAAAAAATTATACTTTAGAAGCTAATCTAGTATCAAAAACATTCAATTCAGCATAACACACAGTCCTCAGAAAAATTCATACAAAAGTGGTGTTTTTCTGAAAAGTGCCAATGCTGCCAGCTAAAACACACACCAACAAAAAAATATTGGGGTATCCCAAGACATAGCCAAATGTTGCAGCGCCACAGCACTAGCAGAAATTTAAATTTGCCGACTGGAACGCTTTCAGATAAATGACACTCTACTGTATACATAATTTAAGGTAAAAATAACACAATCAACAAAAACCCTAATAATAAATTAAAACAGAAAAACAGTAAATAAAATAAGTAAATACTGCGTAATAAAATTAAAATTGCATTAACTAGTTGCATACCATGGACTTTGACATCTTAAACATGGCCACCAGATCTGCCACACATGTATCACTTTCATGCTTTGTGATAAGTTACTTTTTCATTCAATCATTGATGTTACAACCTTTCTCTTAGACTTTGTTGCTTCCACACTTCTCAAATGTCATGATTATATTGTGTTCAACAGAAAGTGTGTGTGTATTATTAACAGCTGTCCTTACATAGTAGTCTTCTTAGACTTGATGGCGGTGTTATTGGTAGAACAAAACCATTAGTTCTAAACATGTGTGCAATTTTTAAAGAAATGGGACCTAAATAAGGTATTGGGGATGTGTAGGGGCCACAGCTAGAAGGTTATGTTCACGTATTCTCGAACATCAAGAAATCAAAAATGGCAGGCCAGTTACAGAGTTAGCAAAGAAAGTGCTTGACCACAATTACCAGCCACACTGGAGCAAAACAGCTGTCCTTACTTAACATAGATGTCTGATTCAATTATAAAGAACATTATCTCACATTATTGCCAATGTGAGATTGTGTTCTTTGTTTAAAAGCTTATTTTAAACTTGTTTCTTCATATTTTGCTTGAATAACATTAAGTTGAAATGCCTTAAAATAATAAAAAGCATATTGGGCATATGCTTTAAATTTTGGAAAGGATATAATCTGTACAAACAATAAAAACAGTTTGCAGTGTGTACAGGGAAGATGCTACTAAGCTTCAAATGTTCAAAATTTCTTCAAATGATACTTTTTAACTAAAGGATACAAAACATATGGATAGTGTTCAAAAGCTGTTGATGAAGAAAAATTACTGGAAGAAACTGTTAAAAATTAACAAATAACACACAATATACTGTATATAACCAAACACACTAAAAGCGATAAGCGATTAAAAACACAAAAGCATATGAGTGTAACATGAGAGTGAGAGACAACTTTGATGCCCAACAGATTGTGCTTGTGCTTCAAGTACATTTTTTACTGTGTGCGCAGTTCAAACTGTGCATGCAGCAAGATTGTAAGGAAAATTTTTGTCAAATTTACCATTTGAACTCAGATATTCGTCGTATGAGGTACTACTGTATAAGATTAGTTTTGTACGTGCGCATGCACTCCCACCAATAAAATTAATGTTAGTTATTATATATCTACCATTAATATAATTATGTTAAGCTATACTGGATGATTTGCTTGGACTGATCATGTATTATGTGGAATATTTCAATATAAAATGAAAGATGAGCATGAAATGCTTCTTTACTTCATGACAAAGCAATTGACCTCACTGTGTTTTATATTACATTATTCAAATGTGAATGTGCAATCATGAAGTATTGAACAAAGTTAATGTTTGGTCTTGAGTGAATCACCCTGTAGTATGCTCTCTGTTAGGTAAAATTAAATATAAGTAGTTAAAACTACTTAAATGTTACAGAATTGACTAAAATATACTGAATAACTGATGGAATACATCAATTTTTGATGATAAGTTTACAACACTGACATTTTTAACGAAAATTCATGTTTATCCAAAATTACTAAAGTTTTAATATTAATTTTAAGTTGGGGATACTAAAAAAATGTAATTCTATTAAATATCTGTAGAAAACAAAATGACTGATGGGGATATACAGATGTGGAGCTTCAATTTCTTTTATACAGTGAAATTCTGTTAACACTGCATTCGATATGCTGATAAGCCAGCATGCATGTCTAGTTTGTCTTTGGGGGAGTATCGATGCACTGGGTA